GAGATATTACAGATGACAAACACATTTTTTTAGGTCAAAAGAAAGGCCACAGATAAAGTACAAAGCACTTAATCATCTCAGTGCAATATGTATCAGTAGTTCAATGACATAACTGGAAAAGAGTCTTGAAATACTTCAGGTTTCCACACAGTCCAAAGGTGCAGTTTCATCCAAGAAAAGGATTCCCATATTTTTTATTAAAGGAAGTATTTTCTGTTGGATGTCCAGTTCTTTGTTTCACCAAACTAAAGCATCCTGCAGTAGTTTATACACTATATTTACTACATACAGTTATATGAAGAAAGGTTGTGACTTTCAAACTCCTGAAGGAAGCAAGAATAAAACAGGAGAATGGCACATTTACCATGGGAAACTCCATCCTTTCCTAAACTTCAGTTGTGGAACTATAGATACTAATGCAATATGAAAGAAGAGACTGACATCTAACAAGGAGCAAAGGTCAGAAAAGCAGATGTTATTGTGTCTTTAAGTCCACTACTACCATAGTTAGGAATACTTTAATCAGTTCCTTTTAAAAGGGGTAGTCTTATTCCTCTTTTCAATTTCCAAATTATTTTTAAACTAATGCCAAAAGGTAATTCTTCATCAGATATAAATGAACATAACTATTAGTTATGCTGCCAACCTTATTGTGGCAGCTTCTACTTTCAATATTTCAATTTTTTTTCTTTAGTACTTTAAATTTCCTAAGCCAGAAAGTCCTATCAACATAGCTGATTATTTAAAATGACTATTAATAAAAATTAAAAAACAATTCAACAGTTCTGCACTGTCAGGCCAGACTGACAAAGTAGGGCTGAACACTGAAATTACATCCCTAGACCAGGCCAACAGGCATGGACTAATGGGTTTGCAGTTCTCACTTTAATAGACAAGAAAACAAAAAACTGAAAGCCTTATTTTAAAGACTACAAAGATGCCTGAGTCAGAGTAATTTTCTTGGGGACAGATACCGGATTTTGTCAGTACTTCAAATAAAGATACATACTTTGGGAAGAGATCCCAGTGCTTTTCACTGAAATCCTGTAGTTTACAGTGCACAGAGTATTTGGGGGTGAATCACTCGCTGGTTTCCCAAAGGAAGTGCCTGATCTGGATCAGCCTTTTCTCCAACAAGGTCTGAGCAGACAGACTCCACTGCACCTTCCAGGCAGGGCTCCCCTGGGCTCTAAGGAGCAGGAAACTAGTTCTGTGAGTTCCAAAAGCAACATCCACAGGACAAACCCGCCCCAGCCCCCCAAACTCTGCTCGAGGCTCCTGCCTGAGCGGTGCCGACAGCAGCCCAGCCCCCCCCTCCCCTCAGTCAGCCACCGCTCCAGATGGTGTTTAACCTAAAGCTCCAAAGCACAAGAGTGGGATGGGGGCTGCTCTAAAACACCAAGGGAAATATGGTGTGAAACAATCAGTTCTTGCCACCTTTCTCAGCAAGCTTTCCCACCCAGTCTAGGTGGGATAATCCCACTAAAGCTTACACTCAGCAATGAATCAACCCCTGGTTGGTAAGTAACAAAACAGCTTAAGTTTGGTGGGGGGGTTTAATTCTAACTCACTCACACGGGAAAACGCCCATCTGTGGGGAATAGTTTTGAAGGGGCCACAGAAGTAAGTATGTACACCTTTATTTATACACATTTATTAAGTACTCAGTGGAGGTGAAAAGAACTAATGAAGCAGCATGGAGACACACACTCCTGCCTCCCTGCTCCCATCTAAACAACGGAAGGGTCAGTTTATCCAAAACTCTATAGTGCTCTCAAACTTTTTTCAGAAAAATAATATTTGTGACTTCTGTCACTCCTGCAATATTTCCAGGACTGTGCTGATGTCTACAACGACAACTGTCCACAAGAGAAAACCAGTAATTTCTACTTAGAAGCAAAATAAACTGTCCAAACCCAGACTGAACTCAAGTTACATACTTATGTGCAGTCAGTTGGGTGGCATTTAAGTTGACATAGTGAATAGGATGGGCTGATTCCAAGGTGCAGACAGCAGAACTCTCAAGGCACTACACAGGTCAGCAGTGCTACAGCTCAGCACACCAGGAACTGTTCAGGGCAGTCAGCACTTATGGGACAGGAGAAACTGGTACTCAGAAGCATTTAAGTTCATGACTGCATTTCTCCTTTTCAAATCAAGAACAGAATAAAAACCAGCGTGAAAATATTAATTTGTTACTAACTACAAGAGTAAAGCACTGTTGTGAATTAGTGAATGATGATGGAGTGACAGCAGAAAAGCTTCCCAGGATGATGGACTGAAAACACAGGTGAAAGAGCGAGAGAATGAATAAAAACTACTGGCAAAAGAAAACATTCTAAAAACCTTGACAGTATCATTTATTGAAGCCAAAAGCTGCCCATTAAGTAATTTAATACAAAAAGTAAAACATGTCTAAAAATAAGACATAAAACATGCTATCACAAGCATTCTAAGTCAGCATTCTTAGACTGTCTGGCACAGCTGCTGCACACTCTGACACACCAGATTAAAAAAAAAAAAAAAAGCAGCACATATGCAGGCCTTGCTATCTGTCACAAAAGGGCAACAGAAACATACAGTCTGTAGAACAAGTGTAATGCACTTATATTAATAATATTCATTTCTTTCACAGGCATTGGAGCTAAATTAAAATTTCCTAAGGCAAGGCAAGGATGACCAAGAAGGATTTGTAACTGCATTGAATTATTAAACTTAAAAAAAAAAAAGTAAATTAAGACTGAAACAGGAGCAAAGACTGTTCAATGAAAAGATGCAGAGGCAAGGTCTGAGCTCAGAATTGTGCCATACTTTAGTTACTCTGCACAGGAACAGTGAACATTTTAAAAAACTGCATTCCATCAGGACCTCAAAGATAAATGCTGTGAAAAGAAGGGAGGATGAGCAGCATTTCCAGTTTCCTTTGAAAACAACTAACCTCAAGAATTACCTCTCAAGTCCACTGCTGATGGATTACATACAGTCACTCTGTAACAAGAAAGTTAAGAACCAGAATGCCCACAGAATATTTAAATGAAAGACAAACCAAATTTTCCCAATTGCATATGGGAGATCGCTTCTCTGCTAAGTGTCAAAGCAGAAAGAACAGTAAATGGTACAAGAACAAACAAAGTTTATTAAGAATTAAGAACTAGTCTACGCTTAATGTTTTGACGCTTGTTTTTGAAACTGAGACGATTTGAAAAAAGAAGTTTAGACACGTCCCAAATCTACCTACTCTGTTAAATCATTGTTACTCATAGGATACGACATGAATATGAAAATTCAACGTTAACATGAAAGCATATGGTCAAATATACTGACGCTGCACAACGAGTGGGTGTGTTTAGCTGGTGCTGAACACTATTAATTATCACTCGATCTTTAACATTCCCTTTTAACATTAAGTGAAATGCATGAGAATAAAACCCATAAATTAGCAATCTACCACAAGGAGTATTTCTCGACCACTTGCTTAGCACTGGAGTTTAGGAAACCACAGCAGGGAAACTTAAACTAGGATGTGAAAACTGTCACAGGAACTTGCAGGTGAAATGGCCAAGTGCATTCCACAGAGGAAACACCATCGTGGTCCTTGAGAAAAGCCCTGCCATGCTTTTCTTTAGTTTTTACACATACCTTGTAAAAACCAGCCCTACCCTTTCCACCTTGTGGCACCCACGAGAGGCCTCGATCTCCTCACCGCCCCACGTGGGTACCGGCCTCTCCCAAAATCTGGAAAAACACGGCTTTCCACTCCCCACCCCCCGCCAGAGAAGGAAGTCCCCCGCCTTCCCAGGAGGAAAATGCCGGCGTTCCCTGTTCCGGAGCCCTCACGGCATCCCCAGGGAAGCCATTCCCGCGGCTGGGAGCAGCAGCGGGGACGGCGCTCCCTGCCCCCGGCTGGCACAAAACCCGAGGAGGCAGCGGGGATGACGCGCCGCGTGTGCGAGCGGTGCCGGCCCGGGCCGTGCCCACGCCGCCAGCGAGCCGCGATTCCCGGGAGCCTCCGGCGCCGACGCCCGGGCGGGGCGCGGGCGAGCCGACCCCTCTCTCCCGCGGTGGATGGGGGCGAGGCCGCCGCCCAGGCCGAGCCAGGCGGCGGCGGCCGAGCCGGCGGCCCGGCAGGGGGGAGGGGGGGGACCCCTTCCCCGGCGTGCGGGAAGGTGGGAATTCCCTGCCGGAGTTACTCACCGGGAGCCGGGCGGGGGGAGCGGAAGCGGTGACGGGGGTGGGAGCGCGCGCGGCGCCCTCGCGCCGCGGCGGGAGGGGTGGGAGGGAGGGAGCGGCGCCCGGTGATCCCGCGCGCGGGCCCGCGCGCGCAACGTGCTCGCGCCGCCGCCACCCGGCCAAGATGGCCGTCGGGCCCGAGGGGCGGGGAGAGCAGGGGAAGGAGGGAGGGATGGGAGAGCGGCATCACCATGGAGAGGAGGGGAGGAGAGAGGGAAGGGCTGCTCGGCTCTCGCCGTCGAGACTCTGGGCCGTGCGGAGGGAGCGGCTCTTCCCGGTGCGGGGCTCCCCGAGCGGGGCCGTGCTGACCCGTGTCCATGCCGGGTTCCAGAACAGAAAGGTCTTGCTGGCCTTTTACCCCGCGCCGCGTAATGATCGCAGGCAGCAATAACAGTCAGTGCGGGTGTTTCCTCCCTCAAGGAAAGGCCCGGCCGTTCCCTTTCACGGCCGCAGTTTCGGCATTAGGAGCCGAGCTCCAGTATCGGACACGCCCGGGGACTGCTACAACACGGAAGGCACCGGGACGGAACGGTCCCGCTGGCCTTTACCTGCCCCGGGCAGCCCGTCACCTGCACCTGGCACACTCGCTTGCTCCCCCGCGGGGGAGCACTTCCAAGCGCTAGCAAGAGCCCGCCACCGAAATTCGCATTCCGAATGCAACACTGAGCACGCCCAGGGGTTGCTCCCAGACACCAGGAGCCAGCACAGGAAGCTCCGGCGGGTCCCTTTCCCCGCCCCTGGACGCGGATCCTGTGAGGGGCGGTCCCGGCGCCTGAGGAAGGGAGGGTGGAGCGGCGCGCGCGCCCTGCGGCCCTTTGGCCGCCGGCTCCGCCCATCGCTGCGGCGGCGACTCCCGGCAGGATCAGGTGGGAAAGGTGGGAGCTGCGGCTCCGGAGGGAGGCTGAGGGGAGGAGGAGAGGAGGAGGAAGAGGGACGCCCGGCCCGGCCGGGAGCTCGGCGGGCTGAGGTGGTGCGCTCGCCCGGGTCGGGGGCTGCCCGAGCGGGTCCCTCCCGCGGTGCGTGCGGGTGTCTCGGGAGCGGGAGAGCGGAGCCCGGGGCTGGGATTCCAGCGCGGCCGGGGTGTTCCGCGAGTAGGTGTTGCTGCTTTATTATCGATATTTAAGCGGTTTGCAGGCCTGCGGGCTACGGTGTTGTAAAATTGGTTAATTAATCAAGAAATGGTGGGGGGAGGGCTACCCAGGAACCTGAGCGAAAGCAGCTCTTCGTTTGTCAAAGCCACTTCATCCCCTGGGTGCTGTGGTTTTTAAAGGCGGCTTCCACCTAATGTTTACACTTCACACGACTTGTAAAGAGGTGCTTGAATCCCTTAATGAACAGTTTACATCCTTACCAGGTAAGTCAAGACTTCCACAAAAATACATTAAAAACACCGCAACGTTTGTTTAAATTGATTAAGGATACACGTATAAAATCGCTAATGTAATTCAATTGTGCAGTTGCTCTAATTACCCTTATTTTTAGTGAAATATATTTGTGACAATGAAGGACTGTAGTAATTTTCACTAGTAGGCTTAAAGTGATGCTCTGAAGGCAGAGTAAAAATAACAAGTGTTTAGAATTGTATCGAGAGAATAATCTGAGAGGTTGAACATTCAGATAAGCGGCTGTTGCAATAGGGTGCTACTGAACGCTTACTAACATTGTTAAATATCGAGTAAACGTTAGTAATTTGAATGTTTAATGTTGTTGTTTAGTCCTCCATTTGAATAACAAATAGTAAGCATAGCGAGAGTCTGGGTTTTGGATATATCTGGAGACCTTTGAAGGCCTTAAACCAGCAAGGATCTAGCCAAAGAAAATGAGAGCAGGGAAAAGAACTTATGAGGTAAAATGAGTAGTGCCATTAAGAAAACCAGGGAATCTAAGGTATGAAATTTTCTTCTGATAAGAAGAACAGGAAGAACAGGCTTATGGATGTTGGAAAAGTGCTGGTGTAGTCAGTGCAGCCTTTGTTCAATTCCGTTGGAAAACCTGTAGTCAGATACTTGCTAAAACTGAATAAAATTATACGATGGCAATGCGATCAGAGTAATTTTTTTTTTTTTAAATAGAAAGGCTGAACTGATTCTGAGGTTTAAGAGCAGTCTGGATCAAACCTTTTTACAGTAGCCAGTGCATTTAATGAGACAGGCATGTAAGGAGTTTGTCTTGAGTTCTGTACATTTTCTGCAGTTGTTCAAGCGACTGAAACGTGGTCTAAAAATAATTTTTTTTAAAGATCTTGTACAGCTGGTTGAAAAATCGCGTTTGAAGCTGACTTGTAAAATCTCACTTTTAAACAAGGGTGTCACAAAGTGTGAACTCCTGGTGAGTTCAGCTTTGAGTGTATTTTCATTATATTCTGTAGTGATGAACACAAAATAAATATGTTGCCAAGTTGGAAGCACCGTACAGCTCCGGGTCAGAATTCAAAATGATCTTGAGAAGATTGGTAGCAGATTGGAAATCAGTGTAACTAAGCTCAGTTAACAAGAACTGAGGGAGGAAGAGAACACAGGAAGAAAAAAATCAAAGGCCTGATTAGTGGAAAGGCTAAAGTGAACAGTAAACAGTATTCCAAAAAAACATTTGAGCACTGTAGTGCATAGTAAATTAAATATAAGTTTGATAATATGTTCTTTCAATTAGATAGGTTAACAAGTGTGATTAGAGACAAGGAAAGTGATTGCTCTGTTGAATAAGGGCCTCAGCTAAAATGGTATGGTTATTTTCTTGCACAGTAGTATGTAGATACCCAGACTCTGCTACAGTGTTAGGTTTATAAAACTTGATTTGTGAGGGAAGCTTGAGAGACACGGGCACACCAGAAAAGAAGAAACTAAGAGCAGATTTGCTGAGGGCCCTCACATCTCTAAAGGGTTGCTGCGTAAAGGCCAGTGATTAACTAGTCTTGGAGTTCTCTGGAGAGCAGGAGCAGAAATCCTGCTTTTTTCTAGAAAGTGATACTGTTAAGGGCAGTCTGGTCTCTCAAGGGCCCTTACAGGTGTGAGTTTAAAACAGTTCTGTTTGTAATAACTTGGTGGAATTAGAAACTTTAACTGAGGAAAACTGCTTTGCAATCTGCAAGTTCCCTCCAGCCTCGATCTTTATGGAGCTTTAGTAGGAAAGTCCCACGTTGTATCCTTCTGTGTCTCCTGTTTAATGTGTTGTGGAGGAGTGTGTGTGTCCTTTGCTTTCAGATAATCACCTTTTAAAGGTGTCTTGTGCTGGTACCCTGAGGGTGCCCCATTTGGTTTGGCTGTGAAAGGCAGACTGTCCAACCATTTAAATCCGTTTCACTCTGTTTATAAACTGTGTGCTTGCTAAAAGGACTTTAATGGCTCTTACTCCACAGGGATGGGATGTTCTCTGGAAAAGAGCGAACTTCTCTGAGGAAGGTGGTGAGGGATAAAGTGTTAAAGGAGAGGGGGAAAAAAAGCTGATCCACTGCTTTGTCTTGATCAAAGGATGTGCATACCCTATAGTGGAAAGGGACAAAGCGGAAGCGTGGCCTGGATCGTGTCATTAAGGCATTCATATATTAACGTTGCTAATAAGGAAACAGCGGCCTATTAATGATCTTTTGGAATAACTGGATTGGAAAATTGGAGATGTTTCCAGCCAGTGCTTCTATAGATGTGGTGTGTCTTTCCATTTTTCAGCACGTGTCAAGGAGAAGGGCCTCTAGAAAGATTAGTTGTTTTTACACAGCCTGAAAAAGCCAAGAGAAGTTGTATTAGGTGACTTAAATTACCCTTAAAGCTAAGTATTTGTGTCTTGCTCAGTATGAGGTGCTTTTACTTCTGCTAGGAAGATGTCCAGAAGTGTTGCTTGAATGAGCTGCTGCTGCATTATTTTTCCTTAGCTATCCAGAATGTCTTGTTCCTGAGCCAGTTAAACAGGAGTTCTGTCATGAAAATCTGACTCAATTAGTCCAACCATTAAAGATTTTCAGTCTTTTGCATCACTAGTACACAGTATGTGGTTGATTTATTTGCCAGCAGTGATTTGGAGTTGGGATCTGGATTTTGAGTAGCTTTGCCTGTTCTATAGAGGGAAACAAACCCAGTTTAAAACATTGGGAAACTTGGATGATGTTTCTTGTTTTATGGTTCAGACCCCCAAAATGATTGGCTTGAACTTTTGAGTACCATTACAATACAAATTTTGACGATGTTAAATTATTTAGAACTTTTGTCTGTGCGCTGAAGCTTATAAGAAATCTCAGCATCATTGCCTTAAGGGATTCTGCAGACTCAAAAGTTCTAGTAATTGTTTTGTAAAAGCAAGTGTAATCAACTTTTTGATATAATCTGAGTGAAGAGTGTGATTTCTGTGATTTACCTTATTTTGGTGAGTTTTGATGGAATGTTTGCATACTTCTTTTGTCTTGAGGGTGGGTATCTAACAACAGCTCTGTCTAGGAATGAATCTGTGAGTATCAGATTTGGAGTTTTTCATTAATTTTCTCTTGAAGTCAAAAGAGATTGAAGGCTTGCTGGTGATGATTTTCAAAAGCTGTTTTGTATGATGTTTTTGAGATGTGATCACTTGAACTAAAATGAACAACAACTTTACTTTGTGAGGTTGAATTCTCTTCACTTCTCTATTTTCAAAGGTGGGAAGAACAGCATTGTTGGTTTCTATATAAATCTGAGAATTAAAATGAATGCAACTCAACCTCTCTTAGTTTATTGTCAGAAAAGTGAAAAATAGCAGAGTTTGGACTAGTAGGTCACTTGAGCTTTAAAATTCATAAGTCCAGAAAAATACTCTCCCCAATGGTTAATAAACATAATTTGAATTTTGGTGTAGGATGAGGGTTGGACTACATGATTTTTGAAGGTCCCTTCCACCAATCTAGACCATCCTGTGATTCTGTGAAAAATGTTTGGGTTTGAAGTAGCTGTGAACTAAGTGTTTTGTAATTCTTTTCCAAGACTGTTTGGAATTCTTAGAAAATTAGGCTACTTGTGACATGTTGGTCTATTGAAATTACCATTAATAAATTTAAAGTTGTATTAAGTAGCAAACAGAGGAAGTTATTTATTTTCTATTCTACTCTATTCTTGATATATACAGGTCTTGATATATAATGTAGCTGATTCAGTGAAGAATTATTATTAAAACTGTGTTTTAAGGAGCCTACTGTTAATACCTGATAGAAGCTTTAAATCAGATAATGCACAATTTAAATACAGTGACTAGGGAAAATGTATGTGCTAGTGTATTCTTAGAGAAATGGCTAAATGGATTGTCAACTTAGTTTTTTTAATAGTTTTGATTTATTTTTTTTTTTAGAACAAAATTTTTCTGCATTGGCAAGGACTTTAAAACATCTTATTGCATGAGTTTGTTTTTTTTTTATTTGGATGGCATTAAGATTACAATATCTGTGAATATATATATGATATCTGTAGGATTAGCTGTGTAGTGTTCAACTTTTCTGAGAGAATGGTGTTTGAATAAGGTTTTTGTTTGCAGCCTTTTGGGACACTTGCTGTTGTCAGTATTTAGATTTTAGTACACATGCAGTTGTTTATTCAGATGTTTTTATGGTAGTTAGGGCTGCAGTTTTGTGTATGAGAAAGTAGCATAAACCCCTGGAATACCATCTCGAGTCATATGTATGAAAATTAAAAAAAAAATAAAATAGCCAAGGGCCAGTAGAAGGTGTTTGGTGCACTGAGGGATGTGCACTACAGAATTCAGATCTCCTGTGTCCCACAAAGAGTTTTTAGCTGCAGAGTTATTAGTACATAGAAGATCTTGTCTCTTCCTTATGTCACTTCTGTAGTGGGTGAGGTCTGGATCCTGTGGATACCAGCCTGGTTCTGTAGCTTTTTTGCTCTCTGGGTGAGATACTGGAAGACTTTTTCTGAGAACAGCAGAGCACAACATGATGTGCTGCATGTGAGCGAAGGGTGAGAAGTCACCTCTAATTCCCTGACTCTTGAGCACTGTATGTCTAATTTTAAGCTTTAATGTAGTTCCTTTCATGGAACTTATGCTTCTCTGGAATGCTTTTGTTTTATTTTTTTTCCAGTGATTTTTAAGCTGCTTTCTAGGAAGTAATAAGGTGCTCTGTACCAAATGGAACCCAGCATGATTATGTTGTAGGGTGTGTGGTGGTAGTCTGGGTGTTGAGACTGTGTATGGTTACTTGAGCAGTGCAAGTCACAGGTGATGATTGCCAGTGAAGTTGTGAAGTTAAGGAAATGAACCATGGGTAAACGTGGCTATAACCAGTTGTTACAAATTGGAGACCACACAATTTGTTTAAACTCTCATTTCCTATTTTTAGGGAGCAGTATCTCCAGGACAGGCTTGCTGTAGTTTCTGAATAGGTTTCTGAACTTGCAGATTAAGTAAAACTTTTAAGTGTATATGGGAGGGGGGTGAAGTTGTATTGCTAGACTTTAAATCAACAAGATCTGTTTCAATGTCTTAAAAACAAACAGAACCATAAAACCCAAATCCTGAACCCCTGACTAACTCTGTATGTGTAAGTTAGAATGATACAAATAAAGTAGGTCTTATGAATGTTCCAAATATGTATTGAATTTTTAAGGACACAAAATTTATGTATATGTGGAACCTCTTAGACTACTTAATGTATTATATATACTTATACATGTTACCTTATATATGTATGAATAAAAGGTTCTAGAGATGTGCAAAAATGTTTGCATATATGTGTATATGTATAAACCACATATTCTGTAGGCTATTACCTAAGTGTGAGGCCAAAGAATTAAAGTGTCTGTGAACAAACACAAGCCTTTAATTTTCCCATTAAGCCAAAAGTATGTCAACTAACTCACTTGTTTTCTCTTACTAGAAATGACCACCCCAAACAAGACACCACCTGGTGCTGATCCAAAGCAGTTAGAGAGGACTGGTACTGTTAGAGAAATAGGCTCACAAGCAGTTTGGTCCCTTTCATCCTGTAAGCCAGGTAAAATCCTACTATCTCATGTTGACAGAAGTTTCACCTATTTTATGCTAAATTGAGGGTTTTTTTTACTTGCACAGTGAACAAACTAAACCACGTGAGCAGGAACCCACCCAGCACTGTGGAGTTGCTTCTGTGCTTTGGCATCTTGCCTGGGTGTCTTCAATTTTTGCCAAAGAGCAGCCACGCAGTTGGGTGACCTAAATGTTCTTTCTAAAACCCTGCCAATAAAATAAAACTATTGTAAATGGTCCTGAAGTGCAGTTAATGATACCTGCTCAAAATATCTTAAGGTCTGTGTTCTTTTCCTCCGGGGTGTTTGATTTGCTATTTCAGAAATAGCTGTTGGGAATTTATCTTGTATTTGCTGCAGCCTAAAGGGAATGATCCCTTTATGTCACAATATTGTGCTCAGGCTGAATGTGTCTGCTCTGATATCCTGGAAGCTTACTTGAAGAAAAATGTCATATGGTTTTGTTGCTTAAACATGGGGAAAGTAATTTTTTATTGCAAATTAAACTTCAACTGCTACATTAGAACTGCAATTAGTGTGGGCAATCAATAAAAGGATGTGATTAGTAAAAGGACAGATAATGAAGGGAAGAAAAAATATGGATTTGGAATTGCTTCTTTAAATGTGATGGCATTAACTTTCAGGAATACTGTTTTTGCCATCTGTTGCTTTTTCTAGTTAGTAACTTGAAAAAGCAAAAATATTTCAGAAGACTACTTGAAAATATTACATTTGGCTAAAATTTTATAATAAATGAATGGTCTCTGCTAATGATTTTCCCTTAGTTCAGCAGTTAAATTACATAATAAGTGGGAAAATCTAACTGTTAATTAGTGTTCTTACAGTCAATATGAGTTACTACTTAACCATTTGGAATTCCAGGACATGTTGACATGGTTTCACACCCCACAGACTTCAACAGCGTTGAGTTTTCACAAATTCCTCTGTTTTAGTTTCGTGTCAGAAAAGCAGAGGCACAACTTGGGTATCTAGAAATATTTCCTTATATGTTATACCTTGGGCTACATTAGTTTGTAACAGCTGAAGAGAAGCTACATTTGCATCAGGGAAATGGGAAATTCAAGACTGTAACATTTTCTTTTTCTTAGGGTTTGGAGTGGATCAGTTACGGGATGATAATCTAGAAACTTACTGGCAGTCAGATGGATCACAGCCTCATTTGGTGAACATCCAATTTAGGTATTAAAAAATACTCCCTATGAGTTAGGGTGTTTTATATAACTTTGTGTTGATGACTGTTCACCAAAATAGGAATTTTGGAAGTGAAAGGACTCCTGCATTAATCCTGTTACCCAGCTGGTAAGAAACCAGTTAGATGGCATTTATAAAAGTGAGATTTTCAAATGTAATGGTTTACTAAATGCCTAAATAAGCAAGCAAAAGAAAGGTTTAATAGTATGTCATTTGTGACAGCATCACATTTACCTACCTAAGGTGACTTTTATCCAGATTTTCTACCTTTGAGAGTAATTTGAAGGATAGATGGTTGTTGTTAAAGTAGTCCTGTGTAACCTGACAACTGAGTTTGAGAAACCTTTTTTATTCTATTCTGTGTAGGATGCTTTCAGTACTTTTTCTTTAACCAAACTTAAGATGATGTTAGATGTTCATCACCCTTTTTTATTTGCTTTTTTAAGACCCCCTTGGTATAACAAGAGAGCCAGTATTTGATAAGCTAAACATAAGCTTCATTACATACAAATGCTTGTTTGGCATCTTGGCCCATTTCTTGGTATTCTGACACTTCTGAGGGCAGACAAAGGAGAACAATGAAAATCAACTCTGTGTACATAACCTAAGGTGAAAAAACCACCTTGTTCTTTAACAGCAAGTTTCTTATAAGTCAGTAGACACACATATTCATTTTTAGAACATTTAAATCCTTAGTTGTTGCAAGCTAGCAATAACCTGATCCTGAATGTTTTTCTTTATGATGCTTACATAGCTTGTGTTGCTTCTTGCAGAAGAAAAACAACAGTGAAGACATTATGCATTTATGCAGACTACAAATCTGATGAAAGTTACACTCCAAGCAAAATCTCTGTCAGAGTAGGAAATAATTTTCATAATCTCCAGGAAATCCGGGTAGGTCTCTGATGCTTTGCTTTTTGTCTTAAGATTGTTCTCTCTCATAAGGACATCTGACGGAGAAAAATCGGTTTGGGAGGTAAAATATGGCATTATGCTTGAAGTGGGAAAATGACTGGGTTTATTTTGGTGTTTGCTTTTAGTTTTTGCCTTGTAAATTTACTCATCTGGTTTCTGGTTTTTTATTAGGCTCCATTGCCAACATCGTTATAATGGACTTGATATATGGATCCTATAATGGGATAGAGAGCAGGGATTTCCAGAACTGGGCTGTTTAGAGTTGGTTAAACTTTGATTTTACTCATGTAAAATACCTGCAGGTGTATGCATTGCATGCATCAAAAGGGAAACTTAGCTTTTAAATACTTGCATTTTTAGACTTAAAAAAAGGCATGAATGTGAGTTATTTTGTCATTAATGACTTGCTCAGCTGTTGAGTCGCATCACTAGGGCTCAGAATTTAAAACTCCAGATTTTAATTATAGCTATAGAGTCTGGATTTCATTGTTGGGAGGTTGCATATTCTCTTAGTAACTGGCAGCATCTGATTCAAAGCTAACTTTGAGACTCTGGAAAGAGAAATTAGGACACAAAGGCAGATAACCAGTTCTGCAAAGGTTTCTTTGTATTCTGCTGGTTAGAGAATCTTTATGTAAGGGAGAATCTGCTCCATATCTTCTAATAGCTGACTCCAGCAGCTGCTGCTGGTAAGAGCTAGTAGAATTGAAGCTAACTTTTCTGTAATCATACACAGAGCAAACAAGATACCAACTTAAACTGAAAGTAATGTAAATTACAGTCATATATGTCCATTAATGATATTTAACTTTTGACTACGGTTTCTAATTTTTTGTAAAGCTTTTTTTTATATATTGGACAGTCACTGAGATGTAAAAGTTGTGAAAGGGATGCAGTTTTTTAACAATATGATGCAAAATCCAATTTCCAGTTCTGAAGATGTACTTAAGACTTGGAATGACACATAGGGTTGTAGTGTTTTATTAATGTTTTTATTTACAAAAGTGTAATAGTCAAACCCAGTATTTTTTCATGGTGATGCTTCTAGCCAGAACAAATGAGATCAGATTTGAGTTGCTTTAACTACTTAGTTTTACTTACCTTCTGGGAAATAGTAAAAGCAGATTTAAATTAGTCTTTGACCTTATTAGATGTCCACCTTGTAAACTAATCAGGTTTACAGGTATAAGCAGGTATCTTTGCTAATTTTGAGTCACCGGGGCCTCATGTTTCAAATTCCTCTTCTCTGGAGCTCAGCAGCTACTGGCAGATACTTTGGGAAGGTTTAACTTACCAGCCTTATATGGCAGGTTTTACAATAACAGAAGGATTGGAATGACAAGAAAAGGGAGATGCTAAATAGTGGTTTGAATTTTTATTTCTGGGATTTTTATTATTTTCGTTTTGCTTTTCAATCCCAACAGTTTGAAGTTCCAAGAGTGATGCATAAGTAGAAGGTTATAAATGCAGTGGGAGTAAAAAAGGGTAGCAAAGATGTGTGCCTCTTATGTTAACACTATGTCCTTGCAATGATTTGTGATGTTCTCTCAAGATTTGACCTTTACTTTTATCCTAAATCTTAAATAGAAAGGTCTTGATGTGTTTTTTTTAAAAAAGTATTTAACTAAATATTCTTTCAAAAGAAATGAATCATCACATTACTTTGATTTTCATCATCAACAAATTCTGTCTTTTAATCTTCCTAATTGTACTGTAGCAATTTGGGAGCTGATCCCTGTATGTGGAACAGTAACAGCAGTTGGATCTTTTCCCTGATATCTGCGGGTCAGTTTTCCGAGTGTCCACTAGATGTCATTGTTGTCCTTAATTATCAGTTTGATTTTGCACTTTTATCTACTCTTTCAATAACTAAATGATTATCCTTTTTGTAATAATTCTTACACAGTATTATGCATATAACTGCCTAGCTTATGTTTCTTATACAGTGGTAAACTTCCCCTCGTGAGGGTATATCTATTATTAATATATTAAATATCTACAGAAACAATAAAATGCATAACAGGTGTATTAGTCTTCTGCAGTTTCTCAGGCAATATTTCTTTTTTCTTGCTAAGAATGGGATTCTGTATATAATGTATTTAGTTAAAAATGGCACTTCTAAATGAAACAAATTACTAGGATTTTTTATAGTATATGAATGTGACCATAATATGTTTCATGAGAGAATAATTCTTATGTGTAGCAGATCCTCAGGTACTTTTTTTACTTCAAAACTGAGAAGAAAATATGGTCATGCTTCTTTGTCACCACTGTGATGTTACTTGTTCCTATGAATTATTTCCTAAACTGCTTGATATTCAGAATGTGTTTTTTAAATTTTCCTTCAAAAAATTTCTCTTTTCTTCAACTTCTCTGACACGTAGGCAGGTTATTAAAGCAGTGTGAACTATTATGAGCTCTTTAGAGAAATCTGCTTAATTATACAATGATTCCATTGGCTTCAGGACTGATTAACTGGATGGAAAATCAGGTTAAATTATTTTCTATTTTTCCATGGATGTTTGCCCAGCTCATAGTGTCTAATGAATGTGTTTTCTTTCCTAATGGTCTGATTTTCAACACAGTGCAATATGCTGGTAGGCTAAATTTTGGGATGAATGTAAGATTAGCCTTAGTTTGTGTTCTGGTATGTAGACATGCCTTTTTTTGGAACCTAAGATGAAATTATTTTCTGAATAAAATGTCTTTTTTCCCCTCTGAGAAACAAGTTGTATGTATCCCATTGTATGGGTGAGAACAGCCATCATAATCTGGCAGTGTTATTCCCTTACTCAGCTGGAACTGAAGTTGTGTGCAGTCAGCCTTCTCCTCTGACTTAAGTGCCTTTTTATCACAGCTGTCAAGCTTGGAGAGCAAGGATTTTCTTATTTCTAGTCATGGAGTTTTCCCACATAATGGTTCAAACAAGTCTGCATGGACAAGACAGTCTATAGACACATTTTTAGAACAGAATCCAGACTATTCACTATGTGATTTAAGTTATTACACTTTGTCATGGTATGAAAGTAACCCACTGCAAAGGATGTGAGTGAAATACTGGCTGCAAGAGATCTCTGGTCTCTTCAAGTGATGCTCACCTGCCTGTTGCTTTTGCACCCTCTCCAAGACATTTAGTCTTCAGCAGTTCACTTTGCCATGAAAAGATTAAGTGTTGTGATGCTCAGTGCAGGTAGGGTTTCAGGTTGTAGTCTGTATTCATATATACATTCACCTTGTAGTTTCAGTGGCTTCTGCTGCCATCCTATAATGTAGGGTCTTTACCCTGCAAAGCAAGACACCTGTAAACTCTTGCATTGGTCACTTCTACAGCTTTGGATAAAAAAATACACTCTGGGAAGGTGTGGATCAGACTTTCTGAAATTAGCTTCTTCTCGTATTGGTTCACATCTGAGAAGCACTGGGGTTTAATCCCAAAATTAAAGTTGCCTCAAGAGGTAGGACCCCTCCTGAAAGAGCCAACCTTCTATTCTGCTGAGGACTCAGCAGCAGAATGTGCCCTACGTTGCCTGTAACTAGGTAAGGTGCAACTAGACAGGGATAATTTCTTTCACATTCCAGGAGGAGTTAGTTCTTGGGTTTTGGGCTTTCACCTGGTTTTTGATTTGAAGTGGGACGTGTTTTTTGTTTGGTTGCTTGTAGTTGAGAGAAACTAGCAAGCTTTGTGACAGGAACAAACCATTGCTGGTGCCTGACATTGCTGTGCTTACTTTGCTTTTCAAACTGTTTCAAGGCAGTAATCATCCACTTGGGAGATGAGATGTATCAGTGCTCAGGCCTAATGGGAAATGATCAGAAATACCCCACTGAAGAGGAGGGAGCCAGGAAGTGTCTGGCCCTGGACCTGCTGTGTTTATGCAGTAGGGCAAATTTGCAACCAGATAATGTGGCTTTGTGTTACCAAGGTAAGCAAGGTCTCTGCTCTTTCGTTTTTCAGAAGCCATTCAGTCTGAAACAATGCTGCTGGAACAGGGTAACTCCCCTGGCTGACAACCTTTAGAGGTGTGCAGTGCTCCATCACCGGGCAGGGATGGACAGCCCTTAATGCAGGGAAAAGACACATTATCACTTGAGGTCCCATGGAGCAGACTCTGCATTGAAGAATGATGCCAAGTATTAAACATTGCTTTGCAAGAGGCCTGCTTGAATTTGGTCTCTGTGTGCTTTCCTCCTGGAACAAAAGCCTACTTAACCTTTTCAACAAGAGTCTGTTCTGAAGATGACTTTGAAGACTCAGGTGAAAGCCCTGTTATCACAGCACACTTTAGCTGGCAACGGTGCGAGGCCTTTGTTTCAGCTTTTTTTTGGTTGTTTTTTTCTTTGGGTTTTTTTCCTGGTTTGGTTTGTTTTGGATTTTTTTTGGTTTGTTGGGATTTTTTTGTTGGATTGCTGTCTGGTTTGTTTCCAGTTTGTTTTCTATCCTTTTGGTCTTGCTTGGTGTTTTGTGACCAGGTGCAGGCCCAGCAGCCTCCCTGGTGGCCCAGTGTTGTAGCTGAGCACCACGGACAGGGCTCCTTCTTCACTGTTGTAAGAGATTCTGCACTGCAGTGGGGAATTATCTACTGGAGGAATGCCCAAACTGGGGGGCTTTTCCAAGGGGTAGTTAGGGAAGTGTGACCCTACTATAATCTCTTTACCCTACAGCGTCCAGTGATTGTAGTGAGGGGGCTGGACTTGTCTAGACATTTTCTGAAATTCAGCACTAGCAATCTCAACCTGTTTTCTGTATGCAAATTGTCATAGGACTGTTGTAAGGTAATGCATCACGAAAATGTATTCTTTTGAGTCTCTAATCAAACATCTCTAAGGTGCATTTTAAATTGCTTTCCATTGAAGATGGAGTACTGAGTTGTTAATCCTTTAGATTCTTGACTAGGCTTCAAGTACTTCGGTTAGAGACCATTCCTCTATGTTCTTTCTTCCATGTAAGAAAAGAGGCATTTCTGACCCCTCATTATTCC